AGAAATACACTTTAATTGGTACTTTCCCACAATAATTTTGATTCAATTTTTACTATTTGTAATGACTGACATGACTATTGAATTTTTTCTACTGATGTCACGCCTTCATCGGACAAATTAAATTAATCACACAAGCCAGTATACATTGTAATCATTAGAATGCAATTTGATTGAGAATGCTTATTAGATTCAAAAGACTTCATTTACATAGTATAGCAATCAGATAAAGATTGTATTGAATCTCCTGAATACCTACTTGCGCTATAAGAATCGCTTTCATATTTTTGCAAAAATAATCGAAGAGAATTCAGGAGGTATTTTACAACAAATAGACGAGGGAACAATACACACAAGAGAGAAATACGACAAACACCGGAAGAGACACAACACATATACAAGAAGAAAAGATGACACTCACGCAGGAGAAACAACACAACAGAAATGAAGAGAAACAAAAACATGTACACGAGAGAAGTACAACACGCGTAAACCGGGGAAATACGACGTACACATTGGAGAGACAACACAAACGGGAAACACAACACATGTATGGGAGAAAAATACAACACACAAGAGCACAACACATACAGGAAAGAAACACAAGACACACCAGAGGAAAACACACACATACCCACACGAGGGAAATGATATAACGGGAGAAGTATAACTCATACACGAGAGAAATAGAACACACACGCGGGAGAAAGAAATCATATACGAGAGCTACAATCCATACACGAGAAATACAATACATACACGAGAGGGAAACAACACACACACGGGATATACAATACACACACGCATATCAGAAAAATACAGCACGCATATAGAAAAACATCTATATTTTATGCCTACGTAGTATGCAAATACGAGAAGTGAAGTAGAACTTGTAGATGTCGATGAACACAGGCTCGACATTAATCGAGCGTGGTAAGAAACTCGGAAAATTTTAAGTTCTACAACGACCACAAGTTCTCTTCAAATGCTCAAACATCACACTTCAACTTCTTTCAAAAAATTGTATCGTTTTCTTGACCACGGCATCCTGTGATATTTCAAAATGAATTCAGCAAACACAAGTCGTTGCAAAAATACATCACACAATACAAAAGCAATTGATATCGTGGTCAAGAAAATCTCAGTAAAGTAAAATGACTACATTTTGTTTTCTTACTGACCTTTCAGCCCAATATTCTCAGTTCCAAGTAGAAAAGTAATATCTTCATTAAATTTTTCGCATGCTTTTGCTAAAACTCCCATGACATTTTCGAAGTCTGGCTGTTTATAGACAAAAAGTTCCTGTCAAGGTTCACATATTCAGAAAATAATATCTCATTAGAAAACAATCTTATTCTTTAGAAATTTTGAATTATTCAAGTCAACCATAAGTGCCATTGTCCACGCGCGTATTTTTTAAACTTTCCCCATGTTGAGTCAAGTTAAGCAGCAGACTCTACTCCTGCTGGTGTCCATCCGTCAATTTCTGAAGTTTCTTTAATTTCTTTAAGGCTCAGCTCTGCAACCCCTAAGAACCGAAAAACTTTCGTTTCCAGGAAGCTGTCCGTCAAGGCCCATTTACCACCAACGAAAAGCTAGTTAGCACCGTTGATATTTGTTTACAAATTTTTAACCAGTGAATGATTATAATATGGTTGGTAACATTCAGCGCTAACATGTTCAATTTGTATATTAATTTTTATAATAATTTGAGTATCATTTTTGGAATATGTTTGGAATGCAGACTTTTTTTTGAAAACACTGTGAAAAGAATGAAATAAGTTTTTATGAAGTTATTACAAAGTGGATAATTTAACTGCCACTTTAATCCCAGTTGTTGTGAAAGCAAGTTTTTTGTTGAAATCATAAAATAAATAAATTAAAATGTTTTAAAATTATTATGACATGGATCATTTCAATGTCAAAGTTACTGTAAAATACAAAATTTAATTAATCTTAAAAACTGTTATACCATATTTGCTATTAATATTCCTAAGTCATAACTGAGTTTCAAATAAATGACATATTGAGGGTTAATCTTTGCATTCTAAAAATTTGTTTAATATTAAATGAAATGCATAAAAATTGTTTCGTTCGAACAGTAGTAAAATTCTTAATTTGGACTGTATAAAAATTTTTGCACAATGTGTTCATTTATTTTCAGCAAATTCTCACAGATAGTATAAAAATTACTTAATATCGTTTACTGTCATTAATTTCGGATTTTCTTACTTATAAATCTCTAAAAAACTTCGCCAAATAAATATGCAAAACATTTCTGACAATTTTCAAGTTGGATTGATTTTACTTGAATGAATAAATTAAGGGTTTAAATTGTTGCATAGAAGTAAACCTGAAAAAGCAAATCGCAGCCACCCAAAGGACTGCAACCATAAAATTGTAGCCCAATTAGCTGATGAACATCTACAATATATATTGTGATGAGCATCATTTTAATAAGTCGAACTAATCAATTTAATTAGAATAAATGCGACAGAAATATTGTTGCACAGACCCTGAAAATAGTATTACTTAAATCATTTCTTGTAGCAACAAAGATTTTGCATAATTCATTTTAGGCAATTATCTAATTTTTATGAATATTTTCGATAGAATCCTATTAAACGTAATTTTGAAAATGCTCGTGCGATATATCCCAATTAAGTTTGATGATCAACACTTTTTTGCATACAAAAATTCATTAGAATATTTTGAGTGCTTTTCGATATTACATTGCTTCAGCTAATAACTGTTCTTGAACTTTTTGAAGCACAATTTTAACCTTCTAGAGTAATTTTTTGAAACATTTATTTCTGCCTATTTAAAAAATGTAAAGCGCCATTTTCAAGTAATTCAACGCATGTTTGAAAAAATAACTTTACAATTAAAAAAAATCTCTCGAATATTAACTATTTAACAGCTATAAATTAATTTTAAAAAACTCCTTAACTATTGATAATTTTAGTATCAATTGATTACTGTATTTAAAATTGTAATTAAAGTTGAATTTGATTTAATAAAATTTACCTCACGCTATTACAAGTAGTACTTTTGGTGTAAAAGAATGCAGCAAGCAGTTGGCCATGGGCAAAATGTGATAACTGATAAATTAAGTGAAAAAGTCATTTGATGAAAATCGCAATTAAATCAGTTCAAAAATCAATTACTCATTTACTCGTATAATTCAGAAATACTCAATTATTAAAATTATAATAAAAATTATAAATTATCAATGATAATTCACACTAAAAATTGGCAGCTGATTAGTCTACTATAGTAGGTAACGAATTAATTTGCAGATGAATCATTCATCAAACTTGAAGTGGATACTAGACTTTATTAATTTCATTAGACGTAAACACGGCTGACATTACAGGAAACATTGATACTGAAAATTAACTTTGAAGCGCGTGAAACGTTTCATCAATTATTTACTTATTCAATTTTAACTAATTGAATGCAGTGAATATAACTGTATTCAGTTACTGCAAAACTTATCTCGTATCGATCATAATTTAACTTTTTTATTTGTAAAAACTAAATAATTCTTTTACTTTTCCGTGATAAATTTTATTATTAATAATAAATGGTATATAAAACAGTGATAATTTAATTGAAGATAACAATACTTAATAATATGAGTAGAGATTTGTTAACATTTATCACTAAGCCATTGATAATTTTAGTATCAATTGATTACTGTACTTAGAATTGTTTTAAAAATAATTTTTCTAAATAATGTTATTGATTGCATACAATTTAGAAGTTAAAGTATGACCGGTACGATAGGATGAATATTAATCAATGTACTATGACAAATAATTTCTGCATTTTCATACAATCATTTAATTTTGATTTCTCTGATACAAAGTTCTATTAATTTTTAAGCATTGAAAAAATTATTACTGAAAATTAGTTTTGAAGCGCAAAAATATTTTTTGCAATGGAAAGAAAAGTTACAGAAGCAGTGCTACGTTTCATAAAGCTCATATATTTCTAAATTTACTTGAGGTGCTTGATCGGAGTTAAAAGTTCTATGACTTGCTTGAAAAGGAAGAAGGCAAAAACACAAAAGTAAACAGTAATAAAAGAAGTAATATTCATTTTTGACAGATTTGACATAGAAAGTACGCCAATGAGGTTGACCTGACCTTTGCTATTTACCTAATTAGTAAGGAGGATATAACTTTGGCATTGAAGTACTACTTACTAACTTTAATAACTACTCATTTAAGTTAGATAGGTAGTGGAAAGCGCATGATGGCTTCTTTCTCAGAGCCATAAATCACATTCTATGCCAATCTGAGGCATCAATTCGTTACCAGTCAGTCAGTTACATTGCAAAGAGTGAAAAGATTAGTTTCTAACATTCTATAACGTCAAGAATTCTTTTTAATTCGCAGAGTTATTATCGACTTTATTTAATTTTCATTGGATAAGTTAGTAAGCAGTAACTTTAACAAGTAATACTTACTTAACTACATTAATAACTACTTATTAAAGTTAGTTAACACTAGTAAATACGTGGTAACTTACTAATTTTATTAACTACATATTACTAGTATAAAATGGCTATTTTTTTAGAATTGTTTCTCTCTGTCCAACAAGAATAATTCAAATTTCAGATAATTCAAATTTTTCGTAGCATTAGACAGTATTTTCAAGCGATCTCATTCGATACAAATTTCGCAAAGCCAAAAAGATGATTCTTCCCGGAATTTTTGAAATTTTTTGTTCGCAATTATAAATGTAAAATGGAATGAACTGTGATAATTGATAAATTATCTAATAAAAATTAAATAAAGTCAATAATAATCTGCAAATTCAACAAGGATTCTTGATGATTTAGAATGCTAAAAACTGGTCTTTCAACTTTTTGCAATGTAACTGACTGACTGTAACGAATTGGTGCTCCGATTGCGATAAAATGTGATTTATTGCTGACTGACTACCTCAGAGAAAGAAGCCATCGCAATGAACTTGCTACTCAGATATGCGCTTTTCGCTACCTATCTGCCAAAAATGCGCTCTTTTTGCTATGCATTTCAAAATTTTTGAGCAATTTAATCAGTCCACGCAACAATTTTTACATGCTAGTTAGTTTCTGTTTTATCAGTTAAGCATTTAATTTATCAAATGGTTGTATTTATTTGATTTTAGCATTTGCTGGATTTTTACGATCACGTTATTTTCACTTTTCAATTTTTGTAACAGTAGCGAAACTTATGGATTTACAAACGTAGAGAACCAAAGCTGCTTTAAGTTGAAATATTGATTAGGCAATTAAGTATCTTTAAATACTTTGACTGTTATCTCACGCATCAATTCAACATTTTTGATCCAATCAACGCTATTTGTACGGCTAAGAAATTTGTCAATAGCATTTTATCGAAATATTTGCTTAAAACAACACGAAATAAGTGATTCATGGGTTATACTTGCGTCAAATTCCCAAACTTTTCAGCATATTCTGAAATAAAAATATCGATCGTTGTAGGTAACTTCCATGAGGAGACTCTCAAAGACTTAAATTTATGAAGAGTATGCCTGCGTACATCTTTGTGATAAGGTTGTTCAGAATCTGACCATTTTTGTTAGTAGTACTCGTTAAAAAATATTATCATTCACGTGTTTTTCTGAAGTATGAAAATTGTAATGGAAACATTTCCGCTGTGATAGATGTCCAGAGAAACACTTGTAAAGCGTGAAGAACTACTACTAACTGTTTGATGAAAGTAATGATTTTTAAGCAAAACGTGAACAGATGGTCTGATTTGTCATCAAATGATTTATAGGACCGAAAAATGCAAAGAAATGAAATGATATGCAAAGAATACATCTGTGATAGAAATGGAAAGCAAGAAACATTTACAATTTTAGGGGTTCGATCATAATAAGAAGTAAAAAAAAGCAAATTTAAATTACATTTTTAAAAGATAATATTGAATCAGAGAAAGCTTAAAAAGAAATCACTAGTTGCTATTAGTAAAATGCAAAAATCTTAGCTGCAATTATGAAAAGTAAGAAAAAACTTTAATTATAATTTTTGCAAAGAAATAAAATAAAAAATACAAGAAATAAAAGATAATGAGATACAATTTTTGAAATGAAACTGTAATCGATAAATACAGTAAAAAACCTAAGTATATTTTTTATTTCACAGAAAATAAAACATTTCAAAAGTATTAAAAAAATGGCATGATCCAGAAAATAAAGAATACACACAATTTCAAAGATATATTATATAATCTAAATTATAGAAAAATAAATGCTTCATTGAGTACTCGATGTAATTTGTATATTATTTTA